ATCCATTGTACTCAGGAGGGATAGCCTGGTTTTGATCTGTTGTGGTGTGCAGTCAACCTGGGGTACCCATGCACCCATCTCTCTATGGTGCACACCCAAGGTTGGAATCACTGAGTCATGGGATAAGTATATCTTTCACTTGATAGATAATAGCCGAATAGGTGGTTAAATTGTTTATACCGGCGGTGTATGAGAATTCCCAGTGTTCTATGTTCTCCTGGCATTTGGTACTTCCAGACTTTAAAATCTTTTTCTCAATCTAGTAGATATACACAGTGACATTTCATTTTGCTTTTTATTTGCATATGTTGTATTATTAATGAAGTAGGGTAGCTTTTCATATATTTATTTATTGATCATTTGTAAAACAAAAGACTTGAGTCTTCTGCAGACTGGTTTTCTGTTGTCTTGTTTATTTTTTTTCTTATTGTTTTGGGAGAGTTCTTTTTGTCTTCATTGGCTATGTGTTTCCCCAAACTATAGATTTTCACTCTGTTGATGGTGTGTATTTTTTACTTTAGTCAAATATATAACATTTCCTTATGTGTTCTTTGCATTTTAAGACATTCTTATCTATACTGCATTTATGAAAGCATTCTTCTATATTATTTTAGAAGTTTAATGGCTTATTCCCCATTTAAATCAGAAACTAATTGGAATTATTATGTAAAGGATGTTATGTGGAGATACATATTTATGTGTGTATATGTATTTATATATGTATTTTTTTCTTCTTCTTTTTAAAAAATATGGATACCCATTGTCTTAGCAACATTATTAAAGTCCGTCCTTTCCCTTCCAGACTCCATGCTACCTCTGTCATAGAGCATATGCCCATATTACACGCATGGGTCTGTTTCTGAGTTTGCAGCTCTTTTCCACTGGTCTGTTTACCTGTCCTGATCCACAGTTAATTCTGACATAGTAATTCTTTTTTTTTTAATTTAATTTTTTAAAAATTTTTTATTTCTTTTCAGTGTTACAGTATTCACTGTTTTTGCACCACACCCAGTGCTCCATGCAATCCGTGCCCTCCCTATTGACATAGTAATTCTTGATCTCTGGCAGGACACATGCTTCCATATCATTCTTGACTGCTTGACTGTTATTTACCCTTTGTAGTTCCGTATACATTTTAGGTTCAGCTTCTTTCATTGTTGAAAAATTTGGAAATTTGATTGGGATTATATTGGAAGAGAATTTATATCTTTATGATATTGAAATTCTCAATCTATGATCATTTATTTAAGTCTTTAATGTCCATGAATATTTTATAATTTGTTCAGTAGAAGTCTTAAATCTTTTTGTTAGATTTGTTCTTATGCATGTTCGATGTTATTATGAGTGTTATTTTTAAATTTTTCTATTAACATATAGTGTATTATTTGTGGTACAATTTATTTTTTATATTGTGATCTAGAAAACATGTTTAATTATTTTATTAATATAAGTAACATACCTGCAATTTTTTAGAGGTTTTATACATATAAAATCATATTTTTAAGTGACAGTTATTTTCTTCCTTTTCAATCTTTATGCTTCTTCCTTCCTTCCTTTCTTTCTTCCTTTCCTCACTGCACTGGCTGGAACCTTCTGTGTAATTCTGATTAGAAGGAATAGTGTGGTATTTTATCTTTTTCTTGATCTCAGAGTGGGAGTACGCCTTCAAGTATGAGGACTGGTGGGGTTCTTCTTTATCAGATTAAGGAAGCTAGGTCCCTTCTATTCCTAATTTGCTTCAGGGTTTTCTTTTTTATCATGAATGAATGGAGAATTTTTTTCAAATGCTTTTTCTGTACCCTTTGAGATCATTTTATGAATATTTTCTTGTCATGTTTCAGTTATCTATTATTTTATAAGAAGCCATGCCAGTATTGGTGGATTGGAAGAATGACCATTTTATCAGACTTTACCATCTGTGGGTTGAGAGGGCTCATCAAGATTATTGTTCTGTCATTTTTGTTTGGGTGCTTTTATGTAGTCATAGTGAGAAGATATCTGGGGTTGCAGTCATGTGGTAGCTCAGTTTGGACATTGGAATGTTCTAGATGACTTATTACATGTCTGGCACCTTGGCAGAGATGGCTAAAAGTCCCAGTGTGGTTGGAATATTGGGATGGCTGGGCCAGTCTTTCTCCACATAGTCTCAAGCCCTCTTTCTCTCTCTCTGGCCTCTGGAAGCTCTCTCCATCTGACTGAAGGATTTCTGACATGGTGACCCAAAGTGCACAACAGGAGCTGCCAGGCCTTCCTAAGGCATGTTTCGGAAATTGGCACAGCATCACTTCTGCCACATTCAGTTGGATAAAGGAAATCACAGGCCAGCCCAGATTCACTGCCAGCAGGACTATACAAGGCTATGATGCCAAGAGGCCATACCACAATATATTAATGTGGTGAATTACATCAATTAGATTTTCTAATGTCTACTAGCCTTACATACCTGGGATAAACCCAAGCCTTAATGAACTTTTTTCAAATCTAATATATTACTTGTTTAGGTTGGCCCATTTTCACTGTTCCTTCATAATATATTTTAAGAAAAATTGTAGGTCATCCTTGCTCTTAAAAAGAATCCAGTAATACTTTTTTTGAAAGTAGTTGAATGGATGAATCTAGAGGGTGTAATACTCAGCAAAATAAGTCAGTCAGAGAAAGACAAATACCACACGATCTCACTCATAGGTGGAATTAAGAAACAAAAGAAATGAGCAAAGGAAAAAAAGAGAGAGAAAGAGAGCGAGAGAGGGACAACCAAGAAACAGACTCTTAAATATAGAGAACAGACTGATGGTATGGTGAGGTGAGGCGTGGGGGGAATGGGTAAAATAGGCAATGGGAATTAAGGAGTGAACTTGTGATGAGTACTATATGAAGTATGGAAGAGTTGAATCAATACATTATACGCCTGAAACTAGAACAACACTGTATGTTAACTGTACTGGAATTTAAAATAAAATAAAAAATAGTTGAGGCCCCAAGTTCTCTTCTCTCCTCTCCTCACATATATACCCTAAGAGGAAACTTCTTTGATCTTTCCATGGAGAGGGTGGGACACTGGAACAATTTGATTGCTGCCAGCAAGGCAGGCATCAGAACCTAAGCAGCGGTGATTTCACCTGGTGAGTCACTGTCACATTGACATATCCTGTTCCCCGCTGATGGTGCTACCTTTTACACAAAAGCATTCAGAACACCCTGCATTGGCAATGCGGTGAGTCTCTCTCAGTGCCTCCTCTCCCGTGCAACCTCACGGTGGTTGCATTGGAAGGATCTTGATAGCAACTTCCTTAAGTCCAGTGGTGCCCAGCTAATGGAGAGTGACTCATGCCTCTGACAGGGAAGTTAATGTTTCTTCTCAGTGCTTATGTTGGTTAGTCTTCCCATTTCCTCCTCATATTTGTTTATCCTATCTTCCATGAAGTTTACGAAAAGATTGTAGGACATCACTATAAGGTAATTGGGATACCATTTAGTTACCACTATAGTAGATTTTACTTAAAAGATTATAGTTTACTATGTACCATGCACTCTCTATATTTAAATAGGTTGTTTATACAATTATATCTAATACATAATGTATGCATAATATACATGCTGTATGTATGGATATGCTTCCAGTGATCCATGTTTTTACCATATGTTGTGTGTATGTGTATCTGTAGACACACACACACACACACACACACACACGTTGTGTGTGGATGCTTTACATATTGTGGTAGACAAAACGCAGCCACAAATTTATCAACATTTATCCCATGGAGAGGTGAGTCTTTGACTCCTACCTTTGAACCTGGGTGAGCTCAGAAACTGCTTTCAGTTGGGGGGCTATTGAAAAGGTGATGCTCTGTTTTCAGGCTCAGGCCTTAATAGCCTGGCGGCTTCCACACCCTGTCTCTTGAAACACTCATTCAGGGAGAAGCCAGCTGCCATATAGGTAGTCCAACAAACCTGAAACCACCATGCTATGAGGAAGGCCAGGTTAGCCACAGGGGAGTAGAGGGACCTGATGAGCTCCCCCTGAGGTATTCTGGTCACCCCAGACCAGGCGGCAGACTTGGGAGTGAAGATTCATCAGATGATCCAGCCTCAACCCCAATCTATTGACACCGACTCATATGCAGATTATAGGAGAGATACAGTCAGTTTATGAATTAAGATGAGTTCCCTTTTGGTCGTGTTGTGATTGAGGCGTCGCGGGACATCCTGACAGAGATACTTAGAGAATGCAGAAGTTTATGGTCAATGAGCTGGACTGAAGGTATTACCCAAAAATCCTGAATGTGCCTGTGATTGTTATTTGACGTCACTGTGTATGGCCCACTACTGTGAGTAGTTGCTCACTGTGGGTAAGGGCCACACCTCTAGGGGAGGGTAAAGGAATCATACCTATGGCAAAGGACAATGTATGTCATAAAGCTTGAATGAACCCCTCTCCTAGGCAATTCTTTTATGTGTCCCCAAGTAACAGTTCCAACCCTGTCTCATCCCTTTCCAAAATCAAAAGTAAAATAAAATTCAAAAGCATTATGTTAGATGTAGGCCATTGTTCATGAGATTGGTATGATCTTTTATGTAGATATTTTACCATTATTAGAGTTATTTATCAAATTATCTCTTCAACTTTTTTTTTTTTAAGATTTTGTTTATTTGACAGAGATCACAAGTAGGCAGACAGGCAGGCAGAGAGTGGCGGTGGGGGGGGGTGGAAGCAGGCTCCCTGCTGATCAGAGAGCCTGACGTGAGGCTCCAGCCCAGGACCCTGAGATCAGGACCTGAGCCAAAGGCAGAGGCTTAATCCACTGAGCCACCCAGGCACTCCTTCAACTTTCTTTTTTATGGCCGATAGAGACCTACACCTCCTGGTTCTCGGCTACCATTGTGAATCCATTTCCTTTAACTTTACGTTTCATTGACTGCGCTCCAGCCACTCTGACTTTTTCTCTCTCCTTTCAATCTACTAAGCTCCTTCCCATTTGGGAGCCCCTTGTACTTACTGTTCCTTCTGTGTAAGAGCTTCATCCATAGATCCTCCTCTAGCTCTGCCCTTTCCAAAATTCAGGTTGTCAGCCTAGAACCCAGTTGTACCTTCTCACAGAGACTAGGTTTAAATAGTACACCAGTACCCTAGTTAATCTTCTTTATATCACCTCTTTATGTCTAAAATGAAAAAGAAAAGAAAAATTTGTCAATAGTACTATTAGCTCCACAAGAACAAGATTTTTGAATTTTTAGTTCCCAGTTCCAATTGTGTACATAGTAGATTCTCAATAAATAACTGCTGTCTGAATAAATGAATGGCCATGTGCATGTGAAAGAGAAAGACCAAGAGAGGGAAGAGGAGGGCCAGTGAGCATGTATCTTACAGGACTCCGTCTCCAGTGCTCCCAAATCTGGTGCACCGTTTAGTGGTTCTCCATCTCACATGCACACTGAAATCATCTAGGGACCCATTGAAACTGGAGACCTACTCTCAGAAATTTGGATGTAAATTTTGGGGGTGTAGCCTAGGCATCAAGATTTTCCAAAACTCCCCAGGTGTGTCCCAGGTGAGAATCAGTCATAGGTATTAATAAAACTGAAGTTATCTTTTCCTGTGCCTCTTCTGACGTCTTTATTAAGTAAATTCTGAGACGCTCTAACTCCAGAGCCACCTGGCAATGCTGATCACTACAGATGTCTCCAACATACTTGCTCTAAAGAAAGATCTGGACTGCTCGTGTTTACCTTAAGGATCAAATTCCCATTGACTGGTGGGAACATTTTGGTTTATAAGAAAAGATACACAGAGCTTTTGTTAGAAGATAAACTAGCAATGGCATATGAGCTGAATTCAGAATTTTCCACATTAGCGTCTTTCTTGGTCATTGCATATTAAAGTAGGGTAGGAAAGTAACTTAACAGTCCTCCTGGGAACAGGAGCAGGTTTTGACATTTTGAAGGTCATGTTTCTGCCCCCAAGGGAAGCATATGAGAAAACAGAGCCAGGTTCATTCCCTAAGCCCATCTCTTGTGTATCATGGGGAAGGTACTAATGGCATTGATGGGTACTATGGAACATGATGTTGGTTGAGAAAAAATTTAAAGCAACAAAACCCTCTTTTCAAAGAAAATCAAACCATAATTCAAAAATTGACCAGGGCGCCTGGGTGGCTCAGCAGGCTAAAGCCTCTGCCTTTGGCTCAGGTCATGATCCCAGGGTCCTGGGATCGAGCCCCACATTGGGCTCTCCACTTGGCAGGGAGCCTGCTTCCCCCTCTCTCTGCCTGTCTCTCTGCCTACTTGTGATCTCTGTCTGTCAAGTAAATAAATAAAATCTTTAAAAAAATTTAAAAAAAAAAAAGAAAATTGATCGAAGTGGAGTGTTCTATTTGGAGGAGAGTTTGTAGCCTGGAGGCTAGCTCAGTCTAGGTTGCCTCATGCAGTGCCTACCCCCAAATGGCCCTGGAGGACTAATGACTAGGGTTCTGCCAAAGGTGACTTGAAAAACACCCTTCCAGATGATGCTTTTTGGGGTAGCAATTATAGAGAAATTAAACTAATAACAATTAGGTAAGGGTTTGCTGTGGGTCTTTGGTATTGAGATTGAGCATGGCATTAGGATTAACCAGGTTGGTCCCTTTCTAGAATCATTTCAGTTCATACGAGCATGACCTGGGGACCTTGGTGAAATGCAGGTTCTGATTCAGTGGTCTTGGGTGGGACCCAAGATTTGCATTTCTGATAAGCTCCTAAGAGCTGCCAATGCTTTGAATACCAGCTTCAAATCACAATTCATGATCAACATTCCCAGGAAACTTATTAAAAATGCAGATCTTGGGGCACCATCCTGGAGCTTCTCCATGCAACCCTCTACCTGAAAGTCTGGAAGTCCTTGTTTTTTACAATTTCCCTAGTCTTTTCCGATGTTCGCTAAGGTTGAGTACTTATGCTTTAGCATGTGTCTGCCTACGTATTTTACCTTTTGGGAACCCAGGAGGAGAGCCTGTAACTCATCAAATGTCAAGGCTGGAGGAGGGTCTAGAGATCATGTAGCCCAACCTTACTCTTTTATTGATTAGAAAATTGAACGCCCAAAGGGCAAATAGTTCTGTCAAATGTCCATCACCAGTGGGGAGCAGGGCAGATGCTAGCATCTCTCTTGTCTTCTGCTGTAATCCCAAAGCCTAGTACAGTGCCTGGCACAAGGAAGGTAAGAGCAAAAATCATTTTTACTGGTGTGTATTTGTGCTCTGCTTGTGCCTGATTGATTATTTTCAAGTTCTCTTATTAAATATTTTCAAGTTATAAAAATGAAAATTGCTGTTCCCAGATAAAATATCAAAGTTCTCATAAGAATCTGAACAGTGTAGGCATTCAGAAGAACATGGACTATGGGGAGTCAAAGAGATGGACCTAGAATTTAGCCCTGGCTTCAACATTTACTAAGTGTGTGATCTTGGCGATTTGGCTCAACTGTTCTGAGGCTGTTTCCTCATTTGTAAATTGGAGATTTCAATAGATTCTAGGTCATGGAGTTTTGTGAATATTTAATTGGTCAGTGCTTGTAAACTGTTTAACATGGTTCTTGGTACATAGTAAGTGCTAAATGCAATGGTAACCCCTCTGGATTACAAAAATGCGATGATGATTGCAAAAGTTATACCAGAAGACACAGCATTAGGAATCCCCTGCCAACTCATAAGATTTTGAAATGGATCATGTCTGAAATGATTGTGTGTAATACATAGATCATAGATCTGGAGTGAATAAACCTGGGTTTGCACACTACTCAGGAGAACTTTCCTATAGCATGAGGTGTGTCACCCTTGTATCATAAAGTGGTTATTGAGATATTGAGAAACTGAGTTACTGAGGGGAGTCTCTCTCAACAGACCAAATGGCAGGATGGGGTGTGGGGGCTGAATTCTCCCCTGGGAGTCTCTCCACAGGGTCCAAATATTGACTGACTAGCTTAGAGTTTGCTGCAGATATGTGGTGTAACAGCTTTAAGCAATGTGTCTCAATCTCTACACAGAGAGCATAGAAAGATATTTTTAGCCTGATTACTAAAGAGAGGAATGTCAGTTCAAAATACATGCCTCAAGAGTTCAGTAGGGGAATGGGACTGGGCTATCAGGAAGTATGTTTTCTGCACGTGTCCCAGATTTTTAGAATAGCTCCGATTTTCTGACATTCTGTAGTTCTATGAGTAAAATTCTACTTGTCTGAGCAGATATGCTCATTTTGTGGGGTAAGTGGTTGGGAAAATATGGCCACCACAGACCAATATAGAGATCACATCAATGATACTTGGTGTTTGAGGAAAAAGTACTATATATTATAAGTAGGCATGACTTCCCCTCAGCAATGAGTCAGGCTTTTTTTCAGTTGCAAGTGACAGAAACTAACTCAAATTGGCTGAGGCAAAAAGGGGATTCCCTGACTCTTAAAACTGAAAAGTCCAGGGTTGGACCTTTCCAAAACTGACAAGTCCAGGGAGAATCTGGATGGTTGCAGATTCTCAAACAATGACCCAGAAAAGCCACCTCTCTTCATTTCCTTATTCTTTCTCTATGTTGTCTTATTTTCTCAGGCAGTCTTCTTTGGGTGATGCCAGCAGCCCTGGGTTCATCTTCATCAGCTTGGCATCCATGTAGAAAGAAATGAGCTTTTCAGTGAAAGCTTGAAAATTCACTTTGGCTGACCTGAGTCATTTGTCCCTCCCACACCCACCAGTGAAAGGACTGGTATCAGCAGCACCTGAACCATGTAGAGTAAAAGATCTCTCAAAGGAAACTGAGACATTAATACAAAAAAAAAAAAAAAAAATGCCGGGCAGGGAAACACACAAATGTCTTTATATCCTTTTTCTTTGAGTCAGGATTCTGTTTCTCATCACTTCTTTATGCCCAGCTTCCTGAGAATTAAATTCTTCCATATACCATGTCCACAAGACATACCATCTCCTCCACAAGAGATCTGCCTCTTGCCCACAAGTGAGGTTCATTTGTCCGTCCTTTATTTTTCGCCTGTACTGCGTGAACTTCACTGATGTCTTGGTTCTGACTTGACTGTCTCTCCACATGTGATTGAATGTCACTTGGAGATTTAATTTCTCCCACCTCGGCTTCTTTTTGCCTCTTTAGTCTTCGTAAAAATTTTGTTACTACACTACAATCCTTTTCAAACTGTGGGAAGAAGGATGATGTCTATACCTGCAGGCAACCAGAAAGAATTTCTTCTGGGAAACATGGAGACACAATTTTGTTGCCATATCCAGCATCTCTGGCCAACTGCAGAATGGACCCACAATTCATTTGGATCACCAGAGCAAGTACTCCGGGAATGATTTGCTTGGATCCAATTTGCAATTTGCTTTTAGAGAGCTAATTAGATAGAAATTTGCAAATGAGAATAACTACCCTTATATGCAGCAATTTGCTTTATTAAATGAGAAGTGACATGGTGTGTGTTACGCTCTTAGCATGATAAGGTTCACAGTTATGTAGATAGTGGAAGCGTTCCAAGAGTGACTGGTGTTCAATGTATAGCTGATTGTCATAAGATTTAGAAAGGGCCTCATGGCAAAAAAGGGACATTTTAATAAAATGTCATTTTCATTCAGCACAGTGTATCAGAACCTCCTACAGGATTTGTTAAATATAATTAACATTTATTGACTACTAGTGTCAGATGCTAGGCAGAACCCATTCACTCCTCCAAACATCCTAGAAGGAAAGTACTATTGCACCCATTTTATATTTAAGGGTTAACTGACTTGCTCTTGGTGACATAATTGGATTGTGAGTGAACTTCCGGCCAGTGGACCCAAGACCCCAAGCTCTGACATAATGTGTAGGTCTAGTAATGATTATCACTTTGGCTATTTAGAAATTACCCATGGCTACCTGTTGGATTAAAATTTATATATATATATATATATATGTATATATATATATATATACATATATATATATATATATATATAAGCTTAAATTCATAACAAAATTGAGAGGAAAGTACAAAAATTTCCTATATACTCCTCACCCCCCCACACACACACATAACCTCTCCCATTATCAACATCTTCCACCAGAGCAATTCATTTGTTATAACTGATGAGCCTACATGGACATGTCATTATCACCCAGAGTCCATAGTTTACCTAAGAGTTCATTCTTGGTGTTCTACATTCCATGGGTTTAGACAAATGTATTATGACAGGTATCCATCATTATACAGAATATGGTCACTTTCCTGAAAATTCTCTGTGCTTCCCTATTCATTCCATTCCTGTTCCCCCTTTACCCTACCAATGATTAAAACTGTATAGTTTCCTTTATCTTTTCTGGAATGTCAAAGAGTAGAAACCTTTCATTATAGAGCCTCCTTAGATTGGTTTCTTTCACTTAGTAATACACATTTAAGGTTTTTCCATGGCTTTGTCTGGTTTAATAGCTCATTTCTTTTTAGCACAAATTGTGTTCTATTGTCTGGTTGTAGCACTGTTTATCCATTCACCTTCCCCATGTTGGTTGCTTCCAAGTTTAGGGAATTATTAATAAATCTGCTATAAATACCCACATGCATGTGTTTAAGCAGCCATATGTTTTCAGCTCCTTTGGGTAAATACCAAGGAGCACAGTTTCTGGGTTGTTTGGTAAGATTATGTTCGGTTTTGTAAGTAACCACCAAGCTCTCTTCCCAAGTGGCTGTGCCATTTTCCCTTCCCATCAGCAATGAATGCAAGTTCCTGTTGCTCTACATCCTCACCAGCATTTGGTATTGTCAGTGTTCTGGATTTTAGTCATTCTAATGTTTGTGTTACCTGCTGTTTTTTAATTTTTCATTAAAAACGTATTGTATGCCTTTTAAGTGGTAGATAGATGTCTCTGATATTCTGGGTATTTTTAAGAAGTAACTCCCCAATAGTACCTGAGACAAAAAACAACAGCTAAAACCTATTGAATATTGACTAAGTGTCATGTCTTGTGGTAAGCACTTTAAAAAATTTTTGACTGATTTGATAGAGAGACAGCACAAACAGGGAGAGAGGGCAAAGGGAAAAGCAGAGTCCCTGCTCAGCAGGGAGCCCGATGTGGGGCTTGATTCCGGGACCTTGGGATCATGACCTGAGCCAAAGGTAGACACTTAACCAACTGAGCCACCCAGGTGCCCTTCTGTTAAACACTTTATATGTTTTCTTTTTTTTTTTTTTAAGATTGTATTTATTTATTTGACATACAGAGATCACAAGCAGGCAGAGAGGCAGGCAGAGAGAGAGGAGGAAGCAGGCTCCCCACCGAGCAGAGAGCCTGATGTGGAGCCTGGGATCATTACCAGAGGCTTTAACCTACTGAGCCACCCAGGCACCCCATATGTTTTCATTTTTTAATTTATTTAATCCTCTTATAAACTTCCTGACTCAGATACCATGCCATTTTAGACTAAGGAAACCAAGTGTTAGAGACAAGACACTTGCTTCAGGGCATCCAGGAAGTGAGTGACAGAGCTGAGAGAAGAGTCTAGATAGTTTGGCTCCACAGCTTTTGCCTTTGGCTTCTCTGCTACACTATACCATAGCACACCATGCCACACCAGATCCTTTCAGCCACTGTCAGGGACAATGATGTCCTATTAGAACCTAATCATTTTTATACTTAGTGTTGTTCCTCAGGTATCATCCAATAGCATCCCCCCCCATAAACATACCTTCTCAAAGTCATCACTACCAAAATGTTAGGTGACAGATATTTAATTTTTAAATTCACCTTTAAAAGTACAAAATTTTTGGAGAGTGAGATATTGTCACCAAGGAATGTGACAGAATACTAACATTATCGATTTATTCAACAAATTTCTCAAGAGAGACTGCCAGCCTGATTCTGTGATAGGCTTTGGGAAGACACATAAGGCACAGAACCACAAGAATGCACATGGTTTAGTGAGAGGTATGCAAATAAGTGCTATAGGGCAATGTGTTGAGTTTTGAAGTAGAAGGGAAGCTAAGTGCTTTGGGAGCTTGATCTGAGCTACCCTTGACTGCCAGTGAATTGGGTCTTCCCCAGGAGGTAATAGAAGGCTGTCCTTAAGTTAAAGGGATTAGGTTCTGTAATAGTGTGTATTTAATTAAGAATATATTTAGTTGTCCAAAAAAAAAAAAAAGATAATAGAGATTTAAGCAATAAGTGACTTAATCAGAGGTCATCAGCCTTAGTTGGTTTAGTTGTTACATGTTATCTCTGGTCTCCTTCTATCTCTCTACTTCTTAGCTATTGGCATTTCATGTTCACGTGTTTTACCTCATTGTCACAAGATGGATGCTGTCACTGCAAACAGAGCCTACGTGGGAAGTTGATAAGAGAGTGGTACTGAAAAAGATATTTTCTTGTAGTGGAACTTTTATTAACCATTTATTTTATTAACTTTATTAACTTTTATTAACAAAGAAGAGAGGATGTGAGACTCTATGGGGCAGATCCTGATGCATCACACTCATAACAGGATGATTTATAAATCAGAATGTCCATTTCTTCTAATGTAAATAATTGGCTGTACTTAGAATGACATCTAACATCACTTCCCATTTAGAATCCACTTTGTCAAGACACATTTAGTAGGTTGCTTCTAAGACCAAGTACATATTATCATCATGCGTATGTGTATCATCATAACATGTGTATAGATGTTTCTAAGGCCAAATAAGTTAAAATCTTTGGTATTTGGTCAAAGCTTTCTTTTTGCAGGACTTGCCAGAATCTTTAGCATGTTTATGAGTTCTATGAATTCCCAAGCATCCATTACTAGATCAATGTGGTGGTTCACTTTAGTAAGCCTTTAACAGATAGGGTGATGTTTTGTTTGTGGGCACATGCAAGTGTAAACTACTATTAGCCTACCCAGTAGGAAAAATTAGCATTTGAAGTAACCCTCAGAAAGAATTTTACCTCAGAGGTAGTTACTGAGACATTTCAAATGCCACTATTGTAATCTACACCATAGGTTTTGTGAAAAGGAAATAGAAATGCTTTTTTATTTTTAAGATTAGTGGTTTTCAGCTACATTATGAGCCAGAATGACAGCATGGCCTCACCACCCTTCTTTGAACAAGGGGAACCAGGGGAAGTCCATCACCTAATCTCTTTGGTCCTCAAGGTCCTGTGCCCACACTTTCATGGAGGGCTCTATCACGTGACACAGTCCTATAGTCTGCTTGTACAGCAACTAGTGGACTGTGGTCTCAGCCTGTCTTAGGCAGAGTGAATATTTTATGCAAAGGCTTATACAAGATCCCAAAGGCAGACTGGGACTTTCCAGAGCTTACAAGAGCAGTATGCATCCCCATTTTTCATGCTTATTTGCTATTAGGTATGTGTGTGTTTGGCAGAATGCGGTCTAAGCCTTGCTTGAATTAAGAGTTCTTATTTGGCAATAGAAATGTGAGGCTGAATGGAAGGTACATCTGAAGGCCTAGGAAATACTGGTGAAAATATTCATGACACCAACACAACCATTTTGTATGGTCAAATGAGCTTAAGGTATTCACCATGGAATGCTTTTATTGTGGTACAACTCAACGGAACTAGTGTTCTCTGGACCTCACTTTGGGAAATAAACTCACAAGCAGGAAGTTACAGTTTTAGTCTAGAGTAGACTGGGACAGTTGCTCTAGTTCTTCTCTGATGGTTATTTTTTGATTTTCTGATCTATGATATAATTTATGAGAAAAGTGTTAAAGAGGCATTACAGCAAAATCTCATTTGATTTTGCTTTTAATGAACTGTCTTTATTGAAAAGAGTAAAATTGAGGAAGTTTGAGGGGAAAATGAAATACGTGGTCATTCCACCTATGCACTAATAGCAGATGTGTAGATGAAAAATGAAACACATAAGGCATTATCTGGATATTTCTATGTTTGTCTGCTTCCTATTTATAGAGTGACATTTAGATGACTGAAAATTTCGCTTTCAGAATCATGCTGTAAGACCCACCCTAAGAAAGAAAGTCCTTTGTGGTGAGAACATTCACTGCTTTTCTGTGGCTTCTACAACCAGCACACATCTAGTAATCAAAAAGAGAGCTGCATGGGATAAATACAGTAGTTGACTTCTGCCCAAATCTTTTGAAGAGAGGAAGTGGAGCTTTTCTGCTCTTCGACACACAAAAGAACATTGCTTTATAATGGATTCCACAGAAAAAGCAAAATCCAAACAA